GTTGTATTATGTTATAGCTGGGAACTTAATTATACCGAAGTATACCAATTATGTTATATTTTCAGTACCTTTAGATATATAGTACAACATTTTTGTATTTATTGATAATTTTTAATTCAAAATGAACAAAATATAATAGAAAAAAGCTTTTATTTTTTGGGGCTGCACATTTTAAATATGGGGCGCACATGTCCTTTGTGCAACCCCCCCCCCCCCCCCCCACCTTTCCTAGTTACTATAATGCTTTAAACATGAAATTGATATGGTCAAAATCAAATTTGCTAAGTTGTTCATTTGCAAGTCATTTATAACAAATGCAGCATTGGGAAAAGTGTACTAGTGAGGTTGCGAATGTACGTATTTTTAATAATATTATGAGTACCTATCGCACCTAAAATGATTTTTCATAAACGCATTTTTCATCACACCGCAATACCGCATGTATCAAAGTTATGCATGTATACGCCACTGATACCATATGTATATGATGTAAGAACTAAGAGTAGTGAGAACTACTGAGTAGTCAGTAGGTGGTAGGTACTACTCGTACTATAGGTACAGTATATAGACTCTACCTTAAGAATGAAGCATATACGATCGTACCACATCTGAATCACGAGAAGGATAGACCTACGAATTATCGAAAATGTAAATACGTAATAAAAATTACGGAACATGGGTGAAGGCTATAGTGCTATACTAAAAAATTACTTTTTAGTTCTATTTGTAAAGTAGGTACCTACTATTAGTAGTATACAGTTTACTTTCACAGACGTTTTTTTCAGCGTTAATTACACCATGTTCAAGTGGGAATGTCTGCCTATTAGAGGACACTGATTTTACCATATGCACATCACGGGGAGATTACCCACTCATCGTCCACCTATTTGCCGCTCACACAAAATATTTACCGTATTACATTTTATAGGGAGATTTCACAATTTTTATCCACAAACTCACGGCTAACCCAAAATATTTACCATATTTTAAAGTTACGGGTGATAACAGGCTCAAAATCGGTTTCACCACTTACTCGAAAATATTTAACGTATACAAACCAAAATTTTTGAAAAAATATTTATTGTATTTACATTATTTTATTCATGCTGGTGTTATGGACGCGCACTTGGCGATTCCGCACAAATAAAATAAAACGAGTTTAAATTACTTTGGCTCAAAATAATATTCTTTATTTAATTGTAAACCATTAACCTGGAATTAACCAGGAGCTGATGGACGACGACGGCGGCGGTGGCTAGCTGTACCGGCGCGGGCAACGATACCGCCCCGACGGTACCACGCGACGATGGCAGAGTGCACGAAGGTGACTCGCAAAGGCGACGGCGGCGGGGACTGCAAAACACAACGGGCGATCGGATACAGCTGCAGAGCTAGGAACACGGAAGTCAGCATCGCTGGACTCGCGGAAGCGGATAACGTTTCAGGGTCCGGCGATGTGCAACTCCAGGACGGCCACCGGACGGTGACTCGGTCGAGTCAGGGCGAAAATCGTGTGGAGAGGATCAGGACCTTTGCGGCGTGCTTTGCTGTGAGGTCTGACGATCCTCTAGCTGCGTCTTCGCCCAGTGGCAATCGGTCGGGTCACGTCTCCGGTCGCCGGCCGATTCCGTAGCGCCGACGGAGCTGCCTCTGCTCGCTCAGTGTTTTAGGTTTCCGTCGCCGTCGCCACGTGTCGGTCGTCTTCAGTACCTGCGCATCGTCGATGCGCACAACATCGAGCACTAGCCGCTCGCCGTCAAATCGTCTCATCGCTCCCTTGGCCGTCGCGGTCGGGACTTCGCCAGCCGTCGTGATGGTCGTCACCCGCGAGCAAACGCACTGGCGACTGCACTCGTCCGCCTGCGGGATGTGCCGCGAAAACGTATAGAGGTGACCAGTAGTCAGAATATTGCTTATAATGCACCTCGCCATCACGTACCGCTCCCCCTGCTTATTGTGTCTTGTCTGGTGTCCCCCCCCCATTAGGCCAATTTGAGCCCATTATACTTAAAAAAATCATATAAAATTACAAAAAAAATAAGAAGATATCAAAAAAAAAATTAAAAAAAATAAGAAGATATATCAAGTAAAAAAACAAAAAAAAATATTCCACATTGGACCGATGAAATATTGAAAATCATAAAAAAATACAAAAAAAATATAAGATATATCAAGTAAAACAAAAAAAAAAATACTTTTGATTGATGTACTTAAACTATAATAAATATTATTGTAAAACTAAATTTATTTTGTTGAGTACACAATAAAATTATTGTCTATACAAAAATAAAATATTGTTTCTTTTTTTACTTATTAGAGTGTATTTGTATATTTATATTTATTCCAACAGAATAATGGGCTCCACTGAATATGCCCCTGTGAGGGCCAATGCAAAGTAATAACTACCTACTAGCAATGTTTTTGTCACGCATCAAATAATATATCGATAAAGTATTGTAATAATATTTTTTGTTGGGTATTTTTGGTCAGGTAAATATTTTAATATAAAAATTAATAGATAACCATAGATAACTTGGCACTTTTACGTATATTATACATTCAACTGTACTCAATGGTATTTTAAAAATTGTAATATTTTTTACTCTTGACCCCACAAAGTAGATAACAAATAGGACGTACCAAGTATCAGAAAAGATACTAATGTAAAACATCAAATCATTTTTACTGCCCCAAAATGTAGCCTCAAAACGAATATTAAAAAGCGGGTTAGTGTATGTCACTCTGCTGTGCAGTTGGTTACAAGTGGCCTAATGGGTAAATGTAATGGATGGTCTTAAATTTGAATTCAATGATATAAATTATAAATCATTGCATACGAAAAACGATTCTGAGCGAAGACTAACCATCAGCCAATAATATTACTAAGTAGGTATATTTTATGATATTATTGTGAATAATTTTAGTATTAGACGTTAGTATTATAGGTATCTACTAAAGTAAGTTAAATTCATTTTTGCCAAAAAATCTCATTTGAAAATATCATTGTGTAGACTTATAAAATATAATAATAATATACTCTAAAAGTTTCATATAGGTACCCAAGAATAATATTTTGAAATAATTATGAAATTTCGTTACAACTGTTTATGAGAATATTTGTTTTAACCTTTCAATCCTTACCTATAAAAATTAGAAATTTTATAATTGTTTAATAAATTATAATAATTGATAATTTTCGAGATTTTGATAAATTTAGTCAAAATATGAACTTTAAATCAAATCCCGACTTGCCATGCAACTCCACCTCAAGTTGGTCACGGGGTAACCGTCGTATATCCACTCTTAATACGTGTTATACGTATACAACTATTTAAATTGAATAGTCGTTGTAAAATAAAGGTAGTTATTAAGAGTGGATATACGGTGGTTAACCTGTGACCAACTTGAGGTGGTGTTGCATAGCAAGTCGGGGGATATTTTTGATTGGAGGAGCGGAGCGATGGCTCCGAGGAGCGCAGCAACGAGTGCCGATACACTCGTAATCACTGCAACTTTGAAAAACCGAAAAAAGTGGTGATAGTGAATAAACGGAAAAGGTCCTCAAAAATCTTTGAAAAGTGAAAATCGGTCTAGTAAGTAATTGTGAAGGTCCATAACAACAAACATAAATCAATTAAATTATGTCGAATAAGTATTTTCGTTGTTCAATAATTGTCCTAGTTATTTAGCTAAAATGCAAAACTGTAAAAATACGTTCTATAACTATTACACTATTATTATATCATTAAGAAATTAAAATATATTTTTTTATTTATTAGGTGTATAGTGTATTGACAAACGTTGAAATTTCGGTAATATAATGCATAACAATATTAAGAAATTAACTACCTACTTATAGTTGTCAAATATATTATGGAGGACGCTTGAGTGTAATATTATTTGCACATGGTAAATAATATGTTTTGAGGTCACCTAATTATAACCGTTATATCTTTAACTATTATAGGTAGTAAAATATATTAAGAATAATATCCCATCTCAATATTTTATTTATTTTTTGATTTCTCTTCAAATATTATAAATACCTAACGTCCTAACCTCATAAACAGGATGTGACAGGAAGACCTGACAGATGAAATAACTTTTGTTCTAATCAATATTTAATTTTTTTCATATATAATTTATAGTCACTTGCCCTACACGTATAACATAAAAACAATTATTACAGATTAGATCTCTGGGCAGAAGATAAGCATTTAAAAAAAAAGGGAGAGGACCAACCCCGGGAAGTGCTCAAACAGAGAATTTGAGATTACCGATGGAAATTTTTGTTTATAAATCGTTGCCATGGGTTTTAAAGCTATTATTATTATTTTAAACATATTATTGATGAAGAGTTGCCATTTTTATTGGGCAACGAAGTGCACGGGATCAGCTAGTTACATATAAAAACCAAGAATAACAATTTTAGTTATTTTGTAGTAATTTAAAAATATTATTCATAGGCATATGAAACTTTAGGAGTATAATATTTTCAAATGTACTTTTTTCGGCAAAAATGTATTTGACTTACTGTTGTAAATTACTTTATACAATAATATCATCAACTATACTTATGCCCGTAAGCATAGTCAATGTATATGTGTCACATAAGAAAAAATCAATTCAGCCTACTGTATTAAGTATTTGGGTAGGTACTATAAATTATAATAGTAAAATAAATTACTTTAATAGCAACAATATATCATAAAACCTACTTAGAAATATAGGCTGACAAACCATCTTCGTTCAGGATCATTTTTTTTCGTAGGTATACATACATTTGTATATATATAATGATTTTATATCATTGAATTCAAATTTATAACATCGTGATCTATAAGACACCTAATGTCCTAATGTACAACAAAGCGGTACCTACCCGTGTGCAGTGGACCCACTTCTTTTTAAAAATAATATTTTGACGAAAATTATTGTATTAAACTATTTTAATGTGTTATTAAAGAAAATTGGACAGTTAATTAATGTTTTTTTTTTATTTATACAAAACACACTGGACTCAAATGTATGCTAAAACTTTGGCCAATTTCATTGAAGTCTCGTAGAACAACATCTACGATTGGTAAGCGAGATGGCCGATCGGTTGTATATGAAATTGTAGTTTTTTTCCATTCTTGTGACCGAGTCTACAAAAAATAAATAAAAAATGATCAGATATTAGTTATAAAAATGTTTTTCATAAATATTTTTTACAAAATATGATACACTTGCCTTGCATTCATCTTCAATAGCAGTGTATTTCATTTTTGGATTCCCTCTTGGTGTAATATCGGCATCATTAAATCCAAATAAATTCAATCCTTTTTTGTATGATCTGTTTTCAGCATCAAAATAATCAATTGATTTTTTACAGTGGTATGTTAAATACTGACTAGCTGATTCTGACAATAGTTGTAAAAAGCTGATTTGATTGCTATCAGCTTTGTATAATATCTAAAAGCATATATTATTCAATTTGAATTGGTTTTATAATTTTTCACCATTATTTACAACCTGTCCAGTATATCCAAATTCAGATAACCAAATTTCTGGTTGAGGACTTCTATTTTCAAAATCTATTGGACCTATATGATCTGGTTGAGGTTTTACACACGTGCTCTTAGTAATCTGATCGCATCGTACGAGTACCGCGTCACGAACATCTCCTTCATTGGGATCCACCCAATATTCTCCTATCAAGCGTTTGTATTTTATTAATTGATCCAAAATTATTAAAAACATTTTCCTACCACTTTCAAGATCGGGATAAGCAGCATATTAATCTTTACATGTCTTGGCTGGGTTATCTTTTTCACCGTTCGGTTTCTTAAACTTCTCAAATGACGTTTTAAATTTTTTATATGCATTGAATATTAATTCACGTCTCTCTGTTTCTGACATTTTGTCAGGTTGATCTTGATGCGTACCATAATTTTGTCCCTATTCCGATATATGTTAATCTATTTAAAAATAATTAATTTTAATCTTACCTTGCTATGTCCTTGTGTTAATAAAGCTGTTAGTGCAGCCATGTCATATGCCAATGCTTCACCTGGAGGTCCAGGTAAACCAGATGCTCCTGGTGCTCCATCAGGACCTCGTTCCCCAGTTAATCCTTAAATATTTCTAATGATTTATTATTTCAACATTTAGAGAACTATACAATAATAACATACTAACCCCTAGGACCAGGTTGTCCCGCTAAACCTTGTAATCCAGGATTTCCATCTTGTCCCGGGGGTCCTAATTAAATTTGCAAATTATTTGTAACTGCTTAAAGATACCCAATTTATTATTCTAATATTAATTATACTCATAAAAAAGTATAACTTCTATTACCTTTTGTTCCTAGTTCACCAACTGGTCCAGGAGGTCCAGGATATCTACCCATTATTACCTATAGTAAGTAATAATTAATTGCTTGTTGATAAATGATAAGTTATACAATTATATATATAATTTATTTTTTTTATTTTTTTTAAGGCTTTGACGACTGAGGTCAATATAGCCTATAGGTTGGTTGGTACAGTCGGTTAGGAACACGTGTACTTACCTATTGTGTGTCAAGGTTATTGCGCACTACGAACCCAAGTGGTCACCCATCCGAGAACTAGTTGCAGAAACCGTTGCTTAATCTCAATCACGTAGTGTGATTGATTTCAGCTACTGCGCTGTGCCGAGCCACTTTCTAAATATTAAGAAATGTTCTTCTATAGCTGTGTGTTACAATTTTTAATATTTGTGTGCAGCTGATATTGTGTAGGTAGGTACATAATACTAGACTCTAGAGTATAGTATAATCGTTTCTGTATACAATTAAGTCCAGTATACGAGTTCGTTTTTAAAATAAAGTATAAATTATAATACCTAATAAGTCTAAGTACTAACATAAAATTATCATATAAGATAATAAGGTTTAGGCATAACATTGAATAACACTCACATACAACTATTCATATCTGGGTACTAAAAAATAAAATCCTTTGTTAATAATTGCATTTTTTGTTGTAGTGTGGTCGTGTGGATCTATGAATTTAAAACTGTGTAATGGTTTTAGGTTGAAAATAAAAAAAAACACATACCTACTTCAGGAAGTAAAAAGAAACTACAGCAGATTAAAAATAATCTTGAGAAACATTGAGAAATTGGAAAAATATAAATAGTTATAAAAATAATATTATATTATTGTTAGTTTCATATAATGTACCTACATAATATTATTTAGCCAGAAATCAGAATAATATTATATTACTTATTATAATATAAGGTAATGTTTGGAGCCATCACACGATAATATTAATTAATATTAAATAAAAATATCCCTCCTCTAGTGCTGACCTTAGAACTAGTAGCGGGGCAGGGGGCTAGGGCAAATAAATATCCATGGGGGTAAAATTTTAGATGTGATAGTCAAACCACAACTTAATTTTAATTGAAACTTTGGATTCCACGTCAACCAAAGTATAACTACCTATGCAACGTTATTTTAAGGAACTGTGCTAATTTGACACTAAAATTAATTTAATTCGCTTTTAAACGTCTCTATGCATACGTGTGAAAATGAATAAATATTAATTGTTTGAACACTGTTATTGTATTACAAACAAAATTATTTTAATATGTTTCACATTACATTTTATTTCAGTAATGGTGCAACTTTAGAGATGTGCAGTGACATGACTTTTGGTTTTAAATTACATTTTTCATTTATTATATAATAATATTTTCACTTACTATATTATACCTACTGTTTTCTTGAATGGCTTGTACATAATAGTTTTAATATGGATCATAGTATCTAATTTCTTAGGTTAATTAATATCCTCAAACTGTAGTTAAAACCCTTAGAATATGAAAATAGTTGTAACGTGAAATTATGGTGTACACTTAGAGAAGTAATAATATTATAAAGTGTATTAAAGCCTATAATAAAATAAAAAAAATTTTACGAGCTTATTAAATTTGTTTGTCAAAAAGATAAGAACTGAGATATATATTATTATAATATTCATAATGATTCATTAAACTCTATGTACAAATAAGTGGTAAATGTAAAATGTATGTAAAAATATCAAATGTGTCATGTTGGTACAAACAATTTTTTATTGGTTTTTTCATATTTTATAAGTAAAGTTCTTGTCTGATTTGAATTACATAATAAAATACAAGTTCGGTGTTAACTGATGGATTTTGTTAATATAATTGGAAACAATATGTTTTCGGCAGCAACTTTTACAAGTAGAGTATGACAGTATAATAACCAATCTCACAAATTGTAAGACCAATTCCATCCCAAAAATCTCCGACCAGCGACCATTCAATTGTACTCGTTGGATGACCATTTAGTTATTTTTTTTAAACTTTTCCTTTAAAAATAAAACCAACACATAAATATACCATGTATTGGAATAAATTCACAAATCTTAATATTAGCGAGTTTAAATTGTCTTTATTATATTATTAGTTTGTGTATTACAAAGCAATACGTTGATGCTCGACTACATAGTCAAACGCAACAGAATCTAAGGTTTTATTTCTGAAAACCAACAATGATGTATATAAACGCCAGTGAGTACAATTTAAAATATTTTAAAATAACAAAATTAAATTGTGTACTAGATTAAAACAAACCAGACTAGACTGATGTAAAATTAACTATTGAAATCTATCTGGTACCAATCTATATATATATATATATATATATTTAATAACAATAATTTAATAAAACGTATAGGTACACAATACAAATATCTAGGTAATAATATAATGAAAAATTCGATGTGAGTATAATAATAAAGTAGTGTAATTAATTGTTTGCGTTATTGTAAACTATATTCATCAGACAGTAATAATATAATAAGTACACTATAATAAAGCCATATTATAGGTACACAAACATAGATAGGATAAATCTAATCAAATCAATAGTAAAATAATAGGTATTCAATAGAAAATAATAAAAAAAAATTGAACTGAAAAATAATGATTGTCAATGAATGTAGGTAATAGTATACGATGTGAGGCTTCGTATAGAACAAAATTATCACAAAATGTTTAACAAAAAAATAAATATAGATATCACAATAAAAAAGGTTTGTTCGCCTTCAATAACAAAAAAAAAAATAATAATAAATACATAAAACCAATATATTACAACATAACAATAATAGACTACCACCGGTCGTTGTAAATATAATTCACAAGACTTGCACAGAACGAGAGAATACAAATAATTAAAATAAAAAAAAATTATAATAAATGGCAAAATTAATCAAATTAAACTACAATAACGAGTTAAATCGATCGGTCAGTCTTTAGGGATCGACATTGAAATCAGCGTAAGTGTCTCTAAACTTACTTTTCAAATGCATCACATATATTATATTATTTATTGCCTCTGATTAGAATAAATTTTTCTTTTTTATATTTACTAGGTGCCTAGTGGCTAGTACCTAACTACATAGCTATAGTTGTACGACTTTATTCGTATCATTGTTTGAATTCGGTCTTAATGCTCGGCCCAACTCCGAATTCAACATTTTGTATTTTGGCCTCGAATTCTTTGATCAATTCCGCTTTTGTCTGAAAAAAAAATCCATCACATATTACACAATTCGTAAACTATACACACAACTTGGTGTACATAACATTTCCCTTAGAATCGGTGTAACAAAACCCGAGGAGTTTGTGTAAAATTCTGCGCTGCTAGGGTAAAAAGTTCAAATATGGTAATTTAATAAAAAAATAAATTGAAATAAAATTTAGAAAAATATATATAGGAACAAATAAATATAAAACCATGTGCATAGTAATAATAAAAAAATATTGTTACCTATCTAAAAAAATATATGTACAAAATACATTTTTTTAAATTAAAATTATAACATAGCTATGTAATACACTAATATCCAGGTATGTTTTTAAGAAATGATCAGACTTATACACTTTTACTCGAGTAGAGCAGAATTATGTATCAACTTACTTTTTTCTTGAGATCATTAAAATGTTGTCTGATTTCTTCGTGCTGTTTTTCTAGCTCCTCAGTTTTCTTCTCGTAGATCTGAGCCAAACGCACCCGTTCATTCACACCCTTTTCCACCATCGAACTGGATACTTCTCGTTTGATCCTAAATACATTGAACAACATAAAAAAACTATTAATATTATACAAAAGTTTTTATATTTGTAATGCATACATTTTCTTTTGACATTATCCCATATTGTTAAAATAATTATTGGGGTTTTAAAATTATAAAAAATTGCCTATATATAGGACCATAATATCTAACCTTATCCGAGGATGAGATATTTTTCTGATATTGTCTATACATTCACGATAAACATATATTATATAGTAATATTATACTACCGTACCTTCCAATCTCGTCCTTGTCCTTGTGTATTTTTGCCAACGATTTCATTTCATGTCGCCGGCGGTCCTGCAACTTTTTCATCACTTCTGCTGTTTCTTTATCCAACAGCACGCGCAACATTTTCATCTGGTTCGATTGCGATGACCGCATCACTTTCTCCAACGACGAAAACACGATCTCGTGATATTTTTCACGGAGGTCCCGTTCCTGTACTACGTGCTCTTTGCCGATGGCCAACAACCGTTCGGACTGGCTTCTGGACATCCTCGGCATCGAACTGGTAGAATTGTCCGTGTCGCATTCTGAGGATTCGGACGCGTCTTGGTTACTCTGCAACATGCTCTCTTGGCTGAAGGACATGAAACGAACACGTTAAAATGTTTTTGTTTTAATATTATATTTATATGGTAGAAGTGTAGAACGCGCAAACGAGATGACGCAATAATTATTACATATTCTTTATCGATAGTCGCTTGACGAATCGGGAACTCATCGAGAACTTGGACATTCGCATCCGTTCCGAATCGTGCGACGATTTCAGGTGCTGCACGCGGTGTCTCTCTTTTTCGTGTTTCCTCCGAAGCATTTCGAGTTTTTTCTCCAGCTCCATTTTCTTATCCTTTACCAGCTTGTTGTCGTTAAGCTTTGAAAGAGATTCGGCGACTACGCCTTCGCTCACTGTAACAAAGAATATTATAGAATGCATATATATATAAATATTATATACTATGAGTGACGGGTGTTTATTATTAATGCTATCTCTATAATATTATTACGATAGATTCGAAGTGTCTAACTATTTATTTTTTATGCATAATCAGATTGAAAAATCGAATCCAACTCACGAGAAGTAGACAACAACACCGGAAGATTCCTTTGGGAGCCTTTCGGACCCTTGCTGAAGTCATCATTGACCGAATAGTCCATCGTCGACACGGGATTAGTAGTCACGGATTTCCGATGCGGTGCCGACGATGTAACGGTCATGTGGTGGCCGGTGGGCAAGTCTGGGCAGCTGGTCTGATGACGGGTGACTGGTTTTACGTCTCGTTCCGCCGGTGCGACACTCGCCTCGATTAATAACGTGCCACAGATTAGATTATGATTGTATTATTACACTATATATATATAAATTACGAGACGACATCAATCGTCAATCGAGCTTACTTCGTCAACGGATTGGTCCAGTTCGTCCGCGAAGACAGCTAATTGCTTGGTGCGTTTATCCAGATCGGATTGGAATTTTATGGGATTAGCCAAAGCCTCGGCAAAATCTGATAAGCCGTCCGGGACGTAGTCTTTTACGGTGATTTTTAAGAACAACGTTCCACAAGGCAGGGGCTGACCCATTTCGTTACGCAATACGACGTGTCTATATCCTGGACAGAGGCCAACTACTGGAATGACACGATGGCCGATCAACTTTCCGGACTCCTCGAAAACGGCTAGACGCAGCGACGCGAGTTGGGGGAGGACCACCTGAAACCCAAACATATTTTTACTATGACTTAAATGCTTTATGAAAGTGTTTACCTAAACAATTTTTCTATATTATATATATATATAGAAATAGGTCATACAGTAAGATACATGTACACGTTATTATTGTCATTATTATGGACAGACGAAAACGTACTTTTTTGAACACAAAAGGTTCGTCACCGTACACCGGGTTAATGCCATTGTACGGTACAGTCCGAGTACGAAATTTTTTCCTGACTGTGTCTGCGGGCAAACCATACATCTCGATGTCCACGTAAGTGCCGACGCGCTTATCGGTAAGCAGTTGACCGGATATGACGTCGACGGTTAGTGTACCAGCAATGATTCCGTCCACGGTGGATTCGGCAAACGGGTCAAACGTACGGTCGGCGCGCCTCATGAACTCTGGTTTCAATAAATAACCGCTGCGCATGTTGTACTCGAATATCCCTAAATTTAGCTGCATCGCCACGTCCATGGTTTGATAATTCAATGCGACAAGCTGACATCCTGCATTCCAAAACACTTGTGGCATAAAGTTGGAAGAGTCAAAACGTGTACCGGCCGGATAAACTCGGCTCAATTGATTTTTGTTATACTTGACAAACTCCATTGGTCGTTCTTTCAGCAACGTCATTGCTTGTTTCTCGTCAAACGATGACATCTCATAGTGCCGGTTTTTTTCTTAAAACACAGTATAATAACGATATAAAGAAATAATTATGAATATTATAAATACAACTATATGACTGGGACGATGCGCTCGGGCCAAAGATTTGTATTTTTAATAAATAGATATATTTGTAAAAAAATGTACACGCTATATTTCTTCTAACTATATTAGTAGGTAATATAATATGTAACCTGAAATGGCCACTATTTAGATAAATAAAAAAATAAAATATTTTTTCGTTGGCTGGAAAAATTATGTGTGAGCTACTGAGCTACCTTTTAGCTATAACCTATAAAAGTTGAAAAAAATAGCCTATAAACACCCTCCAAGTCTCAAGGAATCTATTTATATAACTTTTATTGTAAACGATCCAGTATCTATAGTTTTCGAGTCTATTAACTTAGGATGAACCTACATCCATTTTTAGCTGTATAACCAGACTTTGACGGAAAAAAAAGATAAAATACAGTGCTATACGAGTTATAATAGCTGTATGTTTGTTTTGGTGTACCTCAGTTCACGGGTACAATTGGGTCGCTTTGTGAACTAATTTGACTGATATGGACAATTAATAGCACTAGGTAAATAAATCAAACACGGTTCAAACTACTCTCTAAACTTTTCTGATATCTCCAAAAACAATTTGAAATTTTCGCAAAATCGGTTAAGTATTTATTTTATATATAAGCTACAAACATACATTCAACTCTCATATTTGTTTTAAGATATAATTTCTTTATTTGAAATCATACACGTGACGATTTGATGCATGATTTTACTTCATCTGCCCAAGTAATAACCAATGGCAATCATTCATATATATAAAAAAAAATTACTAATTTATACTAAAACCAGTAAGCTGTTACCAATAGCAACCAATTATAAACAAAATCCTCAAATCCGTAAATCTCAAAATCCTTGTTTGAGCACTTCACCGGGTTGGACCTACAGGGTCCATTTGTGAATCTAAGCCATCCAGGGACCCACTCAAACAAACAGAAAAAAATGTCATCAAAATCGGTCCAGCCGTTTAGGAGGAGTTCGATGTCATACAGACGTACCTACAGTATAATTATATATATATAAAGATTATTCAGGCCCTAGGCGAAATGTTTAAGAATAAAAACAAAATGGAGCCTACGAATTTTGAATCTTAATCATATGCATGTGTACAAAAAAACATACCTATATAAATATTTATTGTTTTCTTTTAGGAGGAGGTACTAATACAAAATGATATGTTTTAAGACGACGAGACACCCATTTGCGTCTGCTTCGTCTTAAAAGTGGCCTAACATGGCAAATTTACATTCAGCAGTTCTGCCAGTTTTATCTCCGTTAATTTTAATAGAAGAGTTAATCTACCAACAATTAAATTTAAAACTTACATAATTTTTTAAGATTTGTTCGAAGTATTTTTGCGATTTTTTGATTTGAAAAGTGTTAAAGTTAACTTACAAATCTTTAACTGTAAAGTTTTGAGAATTACAATTTAAAAATGTTCATAACTCGTTTCAAAATTAAAATATTGAAAGTACACTTACAAAAAACCAGAGAAAATGTTGTTATCTTTAAGTTTAGTAATAGGTAGGTAACTCTTATACTCTTGTATGTAAAACTAGCGAAGCTAAATTAGAACTGCATAAAGCACATTTTGTATGTTACGCATAGATGAGACACTACGAGAGAATGAGATTTCATTCTAGTTTAAAATGTAAAAAATATAACGTCGGTATTTAGGCACTTATAATATATTTAACTTCTTATAAAACTTACTTTCTGCGTTTTCAAAGGAGGTGAATTGCACTGATTGACAATAATTTACGAGAACCGAAATTTCCGTACCAGCTTCAGTCTCCTTGGTGTTGGATACCTTATCGACCAAAGGCTTACCTTGTAAAACATGTTTTAAATCAACCGTTCTATCTACGTCCTCTTCTTCTCCATCGGTATCGCTACTGCTGTCATCATCATCTACAATTGTATTAATAACATTACTTATGCATAAACAAAACATATTTTTATAATTATAAGTTAACTTTTAAGTTGGAAAAAAAACACAGCTAGGTGAAATTAGTTTTTCTAATTGCTATTAATATAATATTATATAAATTCCAAAATGACTTTTATTTTTTTATTTTTTATAAATACCCTATACAAATATAGGTACTTCCCTATAATATTATTTTGGCTAAACTATCGATTTTTTTTTCTTACAAAAATTATTTAATGCATAAAATTGTAAACTTTAAAAAACAATAATAATGATACAAAATAAATAATTGTAAAAAGTAAATGTATGAAAAATATCCGGCCAAATTGATCGTCTGCATGTAGCTATGATAAATAATTGCATGCGTAAAATTTAGGAACGTAGAGTTAAATTTAAAAAATACCTAACCCGATATATTTGATTTGAATTGTACTAAATAAATAAATAATAAAATAATTCACCTTAAATATTATTTGAAAGGATTTAAAATGTCTATTGAAGTTAGGTTTTTTGTATAAAACTTGTTATAGATTGAGTAAAAAAGTAAAATCTTTGTATATTATAATAGTAGTAAACACACAGAACATTAACAATATTTAAATAGCAACTTCAAATTACTTCAATTCAACTACCTGTTGAACATTTTCAGTCCTAGTAAGTAAAAAAATAGTCGATGTTTTAGCGTTATTACGAGCAATATTTTTTACATTGTACAATATTAAGTTGCCTATTAGTTAAATTATAATATAATAATAATAACTGTTTGTACCTTCATCTTCGTCATGATTACTGTCCTTGCTGGATTGTCGAATTGGTCCTCGTGGTATATCTCCATTGCCCAACACCAAAGTGGCAGCTGTAGCTGGCTCCAACACTACACTAGTCGTAGGCTTTTTATGATGATGGTGATGTTTTTTTTTGTTTTTTATAATTATTTTGTTTTTCAGCATTGATGGAGGTGGTAACGAGAAGCCTGGCTCAAGCTAAAATAACGTATACATTATTACGTATTAGGGATAATACATTAAGTGCTCGAAATGAAGACAATGAATAATAATTGTGTTTATTACTTTATGACTGTCCAATGGTTCGTACAACAACATGTCGCCAAAATAATCGTGACAGTATTGGGCAATTTTCGCTTGTTGTTTAGTGTTGCAATGGTTTTCAAATGACAATATTACTGGGTAGTCGGACGACTTGAAAGCCGACTCGGCAATTGCCTCTATTACTTCTCGAGCCGACACTTCAGGTACAAATGTGTATCCATGCAGGATTACCGGTTCATTTGTCTTTCCATTCCACAAATCTAATTCAACGCACCGACATCCAGACAGTAGGCACTGTCTGTAAATCTCCACGGACGACTTACCAGTCAACTGGTGACCTAGTTGAAAACTAATTTTAGAAAACTATAAATAATACCGTGAACAATAATTGTTACCAGTCAAGTAAGTGTTATGTGACGAGTTTATGAAATAATGCGATAGCGGCTGATCCATGTCGTTATTTAATTCAAATGTAGTAGACGATACTATAGGGTTGTCGGCGCTCATCAGATACTTGAGAAACCCGTCAAAACTCAACAATGCTCGTTGAGCGTTTTGTTTGTTGGGTTCAAACTCACGAATTAGATCTTTTGCTCTATCTGAATTGGCATATGGATGGAGTATTTCGTTTAAACGAGGATCTCTTTGAGTACGGTTCAAGAAATCGACGAACTGGTCAACTGTCATAAGTTTTTTCTTACCCGAAGCTCCATGATCACTACAACATCTGAAAATGGTACCCAAGTTACAGTTGCACACGCTTGTATGGATAATTGTTATAAAAAAATAATAATAGAATTAATTTATTATGATAACATAATAATACCGTAAAATCAGGGCCGGATTAACAATACCCAAAGGATATAGGCGGGCTAATAAAATATACAGATACATACTATGGATAATCACGGTCATGAATATTCGATATACTTCTATGTTTTTTATTTATAGTTTACAAAATTATAACATACCAGCACACAGGATATTATGCTATTAATTCGATTAAAATATCGATTTGAACACTATTGTCGAATCGATTTGCATACTTTTTTATAAATTGATATCATTCTGAAAACTAATTTATAAAAAAAAATTAAGAATTTTCCAAAAAGAATAAATAAAAACACGTTTGAGTTTATAAATTAAAGGCATTTTCTCCTTGTTAGGGTAATATTCAGTCGTGAACATTTTTTTACCAACGTATTTTATATCATTTTTTCACCGACTATCCCTTGGTAATTGAATATAATTGTTTGTTTACGCGCTTTACATACGTGTAAAAAATAACTTTTTTGGTTTGTTACATCCGGCTTGGGTTTTTATAAGAAGTAGATAGATATTTTCAATTTCAATAACTCTTGTACCTCTAGTAATAAAAATATTAAAAAATAGTAAAAAATATTACTAGTAACAAATGTCATAGATTTAAATAACGTTTACGGTATTCCTGAGCCCCTGGACGTCCTTAATGTTAAATTATAGATTATTATTTATATTTGTATACACTTCATTAAGTATAGATTATATTATTTATGAATTATCACAAATATACAATATAAATATATTATATTATCTACATAATATTGAAATACTTAACTGTTTGAACAGTTTATTTTTTGTACTCGAATAAAACTATTATGAATATTAAAAGTGACTCAAAATTATGGCGGGGATGCCTGTCTTTTCTAATTTGATCTATTGCATTTAGCCTTTATAATTTTAATTAGTTGGTAAGACAGTCTTCAGCGAGATGACAAATTAATGACTATAAAATACATTTTCAAACATATAAATATAATCGACAATAATATTTCAGAATACATTCATAGGGAATATCCACTTAATACGCGTTGAGAGCAAGATTGTCATGTTTTAAGCATGGAATATAAATATTAGAAAACGATATAATTTATTTTTTCAAATACGATTTTAAAAAGTGGTTATTACTCTGCTGTAGGTACATTATAGGTAACATGTGGATCAGTGTAACAGATATGTTAAATTTGAGTTCAATGTTATAAAAAACAATGTATAAAAAAACCGATTGTGAGCGAAAACGGGCAGTCAGCCTACATTACTAAGTATATTTTTTGATATTTTTTAAATTAAAGTAATTTATGTTTTTATTTGTTCAGCTATACCTAATAGTAGGTTGAATTAATTTTTGTCGTTAACATAGTATTTTAAAACGTCATTGTGTGTATACATTTTTATAGTTAAAAACAATATACTTTAAAAGTTTCAAGGCGGCACCCACAAATATAATATTTTTAAATTACAACAAAATAACTAAAATTTGAAAATCGTTATTCTTTGTTAAAATATCTAATTCCGTTCAAATTAAATTTAAATTATTAAAATAAAAACTGTGTTTATATATTTTTTTAGATTACAGTATGTTTTGGTTACAGTAGAAATACTTATGAGAAACCCTGTTTAACATTTTTAATTCTTAGCAACAAAAATTGAATATTTTATAAATTTTTGTGATTTTGTTACATTTTGTCAACATTTGTACTTTAAATGCTTCTAAAAATAACTATGCCTTTGTATTTTTAACATTTTTGAAATGCTATTATAACAACTTATAAAGAACCTTTTACTTCATCGTCCTAAGTCTTGGACCGAGCAATAATAAAAATTATGTTTACAGAAAAAAAAACAAAAAAAATTGACGATTTAAAATGTTTATAAATAACTTAAAAAGAGTCAAAATATTTTTGAAACGTTATTATGTATAACAAATGATAAAATAAACATTAATTGGTGAAAATTTAAAGTATATGCTATTATTCGTTTTTTAATTACAAAAAAAATTAGAAAACGTTCCATGTAAAGTCGTTAATTTGATGGTGAATATCCAATGTCGTAAGAATTCGAAGTTTCAACTGCTCATTAAAAATGAATGTGTACCTCCGGTAAACTTTTTTTTTGGATAAAGGTAGGGAATGAATAAAATAACATTTTTTGTTATGAATTTCTAACTCAAAATAATTTGCAAATGTTCGTAACTTTTCAAAAGTGAAACTTCTGATGCCCTAAAATTTATTGTGAATTTATTTTCAATTTTTTTTTTAAATTACACTAATAACAACTTATGACAGACCTTGTATTCAACTTCCAATTTTTTTGACACAGCTAAAAATTATTTATCGACAATAGTTGAAAGAAAACTAAAAAAATCCAAAGATTTTTATGACAATAAACAGCTCAAAAAGGGTCAAAATATTAAAAAAAACTTATCATATATGGATAATATTCATATAAATATTTTTTAAAAATACAGTTGCTCGTTGTTGAATAAATAATTACTACAAAAATAACAATGATTTGGTGAAAAGCTGGTTTTTCGTAAAAATTTGTATTAACTGATATGAAACACACTGCTGTTATAACCGAAACATACAATTTTTTATGAAAATACCTAAATAAAATTATATTTTACTGAACAAAAAATTACTATTTTATTTTCAATTATAAATAATATGTTTCAGTTCTAATTAAAAGATACAAATATTATTTACTATAAAAAAAAAATATATACAACAATGAATCAAAGGCATTTGATGAAACGGAGTAGTTAAGGTTCAATTCTAATAAATAAGTATAGGGTATTATATTAATATTATAGTATACACGTATAGCTGTAACAAACATGCAATTCTTTGTTTTATTATTTCTAAAAACTTAAAGCTGTAAACTAATATTATAAGGGAATTTTCTAATCAATGTGAATGGCTTACGAATTAATAACTCACAATATATTTATGGTGGTGTTACGGGGGTGATAATTGACCCACGTCCTATCTTACTTCAAGCCATAAAAATCTGTACAGTGTTGTACATATTATTCTGTATTTTAAATAGGTACAAATAGAATTAAAATTATTTTTAATGAGTTCATTATTATTGTAATTACTAATTTCTAATAAAAAAAAAACAATTGTTTTATAAATAATAAACATCAATGAGTTAATTATAACTATATTTTTTTTATTGATCTCGAAAAGCCATCAGTGGCAAATGCCATTAATAACAATTATATATCGTGACAGTATTGATTAAATAATTACAGTATTTAACTTAAGCCTAGCTACTATCGTCAATTTTATCTCAAAAGACCCTAAGTTTTGATAAAATTAAAGTTAGTTTACGTCTTCCGATTTTGATTCTGAAAAAAAATTTTGAACTTGACAGAAAATTGTCTATAGATCGTACGGAACACTATGTAACTACCACGAATTAAGATATATCTTAATTCGTGGTAACTACTATCTTAGTTACCCCCAAGTTATTTCACCTATTACAGAGGCACAGGTGAAATACAAATTTTAGAAATGGTCCTACAGATTCATAAAAATTGAGAAATTGCATCTACGAAAGTAAGATAAATGAATACTTAATTGCTTAAATGTGACTGAAGGGGTCGGAGACATTTATCGCTGGCCTTCTATCAGTATTTTCGATATTATACTCGATATTAATTCGATATTACTTATGAACAAATTATAAAAATTGTCAAACAAATTCATACAATTGGCGTATACCTAGGTACAAAATATTTAAATAAAAATGTTCAAGAAATTTCTATGCACGTCATAAATTTGGTGTTAAGCACCTTTATATTATGTATTATAGTATAATATACACAATGGAAAGCATATCATGCGGTCTGCGCGTATAATTTTTTTATAAATATGTTTTTAAATCATTCATATTTTTAATTAGAATACTTAAAGATATCGTCATGTTTTATTATTATAGATTAACTTGCAATACAAATATTAAAACAGGATAATGAAAAATGTAAAGTGGTGCTAAAAAAAGAAAAAACTAACTCCTTTAACGCCAAAAATCATAATCCGGCCCTGTAAACATTGTTTAATTTTATGACCCTTTACTCATCCATTAAAATATATAAAGTGTACCTACCTATACACTTTATTTACCAGAGGATATTATTATATTAATAATAATGTATAAGATAACCCTGTCTTAAAGTTCAAGTGTATAGCAAATTAACATCATATCACAGAATGCAAGTACCAGAACAAATATAAAGTAAATTAACAATTAATTCAAAACTATGTATTATAATATAAACTATAAATCATACTGTTATCTGTATTCACTAACTAGGTAACTGACATTTGTACCATTTATTAACTGTATTGGTAAATGCATTTTGCCATCATCTTTATTATATTATACATTTTAATTTATTCTATTGTTGAAATGTACTTACACGTCATCAAATAATTGTGCAACTTCGGGTCTAGCAGTAAGATTTTTGTAGAAAGTGAAGAAATCTTCAAATATAAACTTTACCGGACTAACGAAATCATTCTGAATAATATAATATTAATTACTGTTGGTTTAATTAATGCAATTTAACATTTAGCATTGTAATTCGTACTTTATTCGACGGTAATCCAGATGACTCCAGGGCTTTTTCGACTTTCTTCCTATCGTCTTTGTTCTGCGCGAACGTCTTGAGAATACTAAAATTATTATAAATAAATATGTAAAAATGAATGTGAAGAGTATATAATATGTATTATTATACAGATACAAAGTGTCTTGTGGTAATTTAATTTCGTGTTGTATAATATTATAAAGAAACTTATAGGCACCGATGTATGCAAGATATTATCAGTTAAAAAACACGCAAACACAAACGCTAGGACAAGGTAAGAAAATAAATATTATTTATAAATCAATTTTCACGTTATTGATATTTCTTTTAACTGTGTAGGTATACAGTTGTTGTGTCACGAATTCGGATACTGAAATTTACGCAGCTTATAAAGTTTTCAATGCCTGTAATTATTGCCCGTTTGATGAAACAAATTAAAAATATTCAAAGTAAATAAGTTTAAATAAAATTAATAGATAAATTAAAAATTGTACAACTCATTTAGATGTATATATGATTATGTACCATGATATATTCCATTAATCATTATTATTTTTTTTTTTAATCATATTTTCCTCGACGTTTGTTGACACGATCTCGATAATAAATAAAAAAAAAGTGATGAATTAGGTATTGGAGTGGTTATATATATGGTTATATTTCAAAGCAATAATGATTGCATACGAAAAACGATTTAGAACAGAGCCCAAACCCAGGACTTCGAAATTAAAGTAAGTGGGTCGGTACTTTCAAGTACATTCAATATTAAATTTCTAATACGTCATGATAATATATGGTGCTAAACTGCTTTATGTTAATACATTTTGATATAACAACTATGGGTATATTTTTTTTTCTTTTTGGAAAAGCACACATTGTAAAGCAATAAAAATATAATATATACATAATATTCGATTAATTGGACGTATTTAAGCATCGTAGCAGTATTCTAGTAATTATTTAATCTAATTGGAATTTTTGCTGAGGTGTATGCTCATTTATCTTGAGCGATGTCATTAATAATTAATTGAATGATGAACGGTTTGTACCCAGTTTAGTATATTACATGAAGCACACAAGGGTTTTATCTTATATTTCGTGGAATGAATGCAGATGAGTTCAAAGTGAAGTGCCTAAATACACATAAAGTCAAGTGAGACAAAGCGTTTTACTTCATAACAACTGTTTAAAAGGAATAATTCAGTTTATAATGTTTTATTAACCTGGAGTGAAGGAATTCCTTTTTCATGATAATAATCACAGTTCAAAAAAATATAGGTATGTATACAAAACAAATAAGCTATTTCTTCAATAGATGATTCTGTGAGGCATATGAATTACATATTAATTGTTTTGAGAAAATTTACCAGCTCAAATGAACAACTGGAGAAGTCACTCTGCTGTATAGTAGGATTTTGTTAATAAATGGGTCACGAGCGGAAACAATGATATTTTATTACAATTTATAATGAAAGTTTAACTATAACTATTTACACGGCATGTTGAACTTATACTTGAAGAAGATATCACACATATCATAATATAATAATAATTAAAATATAATATTCTTAATATGTTTTTTATAATAAGTAAATACTTTCTAACATACATAATATAGTAAAAGTTTTAACTTTAAAGGGCTATAAAAAAAATTGTGAAAGCATATTTTTGAAACATTAAAATTGTTGTACGGAAAACTTACGAGGAACCTCATATTGTCTATTAAATTTTTACCCTTTTGGTATAAATTTAAACATATTATAAATGAATAACAATTAAAAACAACAAAATGTATAAATGTTCGTGATTTCGACAAATTCTGTTTAAATTTGAACTTAAAATAACGCTATATAAAAAACATTATGCCTGTGTATATTCAAAATGTATGAATATACAAGCAACTAATAAATCTAACCAACTCAGAAAATGAATATTTTAAATTTTAAATTGTTTGTATAGGAAGGGATTTTAAAAATTCAGTTTAAATAATGATATTCAAATAAATGTAAATAAAATAATATAAAAATGTAATAATCACTTTTTTATTGGAATTTTGCCATTCTTGTCTACTAATAAATTCAATTTGGTATGCGTTTTGTGCAAGAACGATATTGGTGACCAATTTAGCTGCACCAAATTCAGAGCAAGCTTCAAAAGACCGTCTGTCCATACCTAAATAATGTGATAAATAACAATTAATGACATGGTAACAATGTTTTACCTCTGCAAACTCTGCTAAACGAATACATAATAATAAAGACATCATAATTCACAGTAATGACACTGAAAAGGGTCAAGTACACTGCAATATTGTCAAATAAATGATTGAAATCGATTAGTAACTTTACAGACCTGTATAAATTTACAGTAGGTACCTATATAATTAAGTTTTTTTGTAAAATAATCTATTCACAGTATCAATGTTTATCACCATATAATATATATTTAGTTTAAATAAATACCTGCATTATATACTACATTATTAACATATTTATTGATATTCTCATTATCGTTCTAAAATAAACATAAAATCAACGTAAAGCGATTCACACATATTATTTTGAAATAATATTACTCAGTTATTAGAAGTTGAAGTACCTACTTAGTACTTATAAGAATAGCTGACACTATATACGAATAATATTAATTTTTATTATCTTCGTTTTACACGCAATACACATTATTAAAAAAAAAATTATTTATGTTCGTCATAATCGACACAATTATGTTATCTTTACTACTAGAATCAATTAATATTTTATCTCGGAAAACAAGATTGGTATTTTCTAATTTTTATTTTTAAATTTAAAATAAGCAAATGAATCAAGCAAATGAAACCATTACAATTTAAATATTATACTTGAATCTGACGTAGTAAAAAAAAATTCGAAACAACTGATGAGAGAACGCGGAAAATTTCTTAAATGTTGGTAAATAAGTTATTTGAATCTTCTACCTATATAGTATTTCAAACGCATGTATAATCGTAAAATCAAAAAAACTATTCTCATAAAAACGTGTAGATAAATAATATGAATTCTACTTTGGGTTAAATTTTATAATAACAAAGATCACAGAAGTCTATCAAATTTTAATAAAAAATTATTAGGAAATCATGAAAATATAACTAGAATACAAGATTACCAGAGTTATACATTTTGCTTAACACTAAGCCATAAATCAAATTCAAGTATTTCCAATTTTAAAAACATACAATAATATTTTAACACATATAGTGCAAAGCATAAAAGTGAGAGTTAGTTTAGTCTTTAAATTTTAATTGCCTTCATAAAATACTAAGCAAATTTAAATCTATTTTTTAAATACTTACTGAATTATAAAAGGTTTCAGTAAATATAAAAAATGTAATGAAAATTATAAAAATAGTTTGTTACATATCATTTTTTTTTTTTATTGAGCTTGATACCTGCCATTAGCTATTTTTTGTTTTGTTTGTAGGGGGGGGGGAACACGTGTGTGTTTGTTTGGCAGGAATTTTTGATTTGGGCACGCGTAGGTATCTGGCATGCTCGGGTGGGGGATGGCGGCACTTGTTCTCCGGACACCATGACTTGCCCGAAGAAAGTTTCCACCCATGGCTGAGGTATCGAACCGGCGTCGGTGTGCGTTTGTCCACTCGGCCACTCCTTCCCCGTTATATATAATTATATGTAAATGTTAATATGTATACATAATAATATATAATTATTTCACCACAATTAGTTGTTGATAATTCACTAGCAACATGGTAGTCATTTTTGAAACCAGTGATATTTTTATCGTTATTTTCGGGAAATTGTATCTCGGCTCCGTGATTTTTTCTCAATATTTTCGCAAATCATGCTCAGTGCTTACCTTCATATTTTACTTTAAAAATGAATAAATTAAAATGTTGATACTGGGATGTCTTAAGTATAGTATAGAATTATATTCTCAAATAATTAGATGTTGTACCTATGTATTTTATGGAGTTATACCTGTGATGATGACATAAATTTCTTTTTCCAAATAATAACAACCATTTTTGTTTTAAATAGTTAAGGTGATTTATTGAAAATGTCAATGTATATTAATCAAACTTTGAATTTCTGATTTATATAACATAAAGTAAATACTAAGGATAATATCCATGTAGTAAAGAATACTAATTTATGATAATAGAAATGAATAACAGGTTCAAAGATAAAATAAGGTCTTAGATAATTTGCAAATAACAATGATTTATAAATAAATTGATGTAAACTGTGTAAATTGTAAAAATGTCCAGAGTATAATCAGTACCTACTAGACTAATATTTCACAACCAATGGTCGATGCACGGCACAACATTTTTTTTTTCACTAAAAAAATTGAATGTAGTGAAAAAAAATAGTACCTACCCATTCAAGTTACTATATACATTTGTATTTTGTATTATGGGTCTGAGCAACAGTATACATCCTTGGATTCCCAAACTTTTAAAGGAAAGAACAACCCCGACAGTTGCATTGGATAAACATTAATTAAAATTAATTATCTATAAAGAAATGATTAAAAATAAGTTAATGAACTGTAAAACGTAAATAATTAACATAATTATTGAAAATGTCATAATTTTAATTTATTTAAAAATCTAAAATCTGAAAAATGCAATCCTTGTAGATAATAATAAAAAAGGTCTCCTGCAGAAATCGAGGTGATCCGTGACCTTTAAAAAGTCCTTTAAGTGGTCCATAGTGCCAAAAAGGTTGGGAAACACTATACAAGACTAATTAATAACTATTACATCAATTTTATATTTTATGTAAATCCATTATAAAGGACTATTATTCTTAATAATATTTTTATGTACTTACCTACATGGTTACATAAACATAAAGTATAATAACAACGAAACTGCTCGTTCAAATTTCGATTTAAATTAATCCAAATTATCAAAAAATACATATACCTTTTTATTAAACAACAGTAAAAAAAATAATGGTTTTTGTTTGAAAATAAAAACATGTTTTTCACGGAGCCAGGTACTCCTTAAATATTATAACAATCTAAGAACTTATTTGAAATTTTGGATTTATGTTCACAATTTTAAAAATTAGAATTTGAATAAATACATTGCTAAAGGATTAAAGAATTTGAGCACTGAGCGTGCTTGGTAATCGCCCTATTTATAGGTATTACCCAAGTTTTTATCCCCGTGTATTGATTGTATTTTTATTTTTTTATTTAATATAATTAATATATAATATTAACATTAATTAATTAAAATGTCCTCTATTAAACCAAATAATAATTTATATATAGTTATAGTGACTTGATTAAAGCATTTGCAACCAAACTGACACAATTAATATTTTAAAACATAAAATACATTTATATTTTGTTGTTATTTTATTAACAACTGTATAGATAATTTGTAAACGTATTCTAAAAAAATGTATTAATCGTCTAGATTAATTTTATAATATAATAAAAACTACAGTAGGTACAATAAATAATTTATTCAATTGGTATAAGAACTAGGATATTTTTTTATACGTAAATTATTAATTTAATTAATCTTGTAATAGTAAATTTGTATAAATTTTTTTATTTTAACAATTTCAATGTATCTTATAATTATGTCGTACACTCGTACATATGTCATATGTGTAAAGCAATACTGAGTAAGTCTTTATTACCAAATACATATAGCAGTTTATAGATAATAACAATCATACATCATAATGAATTTAAAAAAAAATGTTGATATTTCTCTGGTAAACGATAAAAGAAATCCTAAATTATTGTAAAAACCATTGATAAATAATTTATATAAATATTTGTATCTATAATCTTTATCTTCAAAATGTTAACTAACACATAATATTGAATATTTGAATAATAATTAAAAAATTATGATAAGGATCAAATATTAATTAAAAAACTATTTTATTATCATGTTCACATTTATGACTTCTGTGTACTCACCTACTTATCGTAAAATAATATAAATTTCAAATTATCGTATTGCAGAAATCTTCATTGAAAATAATGAATGAATGAAATGTTGAATATTATGCAAATTTAAGACCAGAATATTTATTTATTTATAAATAAATCCACGTTGGAATGAATATTTCTTTTTTAAAATTAGTTCAATTTAAGTCAATTCAAGCGCTTGAACTGTAAATAGGGAATGTCCCCCATGTTTCAACTTTTTTCTTTTCATTTTTTAATTAAAAACAAAAGTGAATAAACATTTCAATTGAAATTTGATTTAGCGTTTCACCTTTGGAAGGAAAATGTGCTTGATTTTAATATTGGAGGTGACCTGTTAAATTAGATACAAAAATTTAGATGAAAAAGAAACAGCCTTTCTAGTAATATTTCATTTTGCGTTTTGGCCCAGTCGATTATTATTGCGTTTTGATAAATCCTTTATGGTACAAGATATCCCGCTGATATACAAAGATATATTCCCTCCCCGAGAGAAATCTTGGCCACAATCCCGTCTTGTTTGAAACGAGCACAATACATCGATATACTTTAACATAGTTATTCTAGGGTTGCATTCAGTATATAATATATATTATAAAAGGAGCATTAAACAACCAAAAGGGGTCTCAAGTTTGAGTTGTTTTTTTTAACTGTACTTACAAGGTTTTTTCAAAAACATTGTTTTTTTTTAAATTCACCACAAACATATTTTGAACTACTTAGAAATACAAAACACAACCTATTTTAACTCATCATAACCATACTATAAGTGATTATATTTGGATTATATTTTGCAACTATGTATATGATATAATATTACATCATACCTCATAAACCTACATCAGTAGACTGCAATACTCATTACTCAAGTAATATAATATTTTAAAATCTAAATAATTAATAATTGGACTCCATTTAAAAGGACTCTTTCAATACTATTGTACTTAAGTAATATTAATGTTAGCCAGAATAAATAATTTAATAGTAAACAGAAAGTATAAATGAAAAAATATGGTTATGAATCAGGATACTTTATATTTTAAGGACAATCCTAAATAAATCCAGTCCTAAAAACAAACCAACATAATATAATGATAATATGTGAATATTTAAACAATACAATATTATTATGTTCTATCAATGAAACGTGTTTATTTATAAATTATAAACAATTTATCTTCACTACTATTTAATTCCTAAAGTAATTTTAAATA